CATGTCATGGTAAGCAATAACACACACTCATCGTGTAAAGAACAATACCAAAATAATGAAAATTCTGTAAGAGCTAATAAAAAATACTGATGAAAATAAATTGAGCTGATAAATAACTTTGACAAGAGCCATTAATAACAGCCTCTCAGTTTCCCGTGCACTCACAACAACGGCTCTCGAGCAACTGGGTTCTAGTCTATAACTGAAAATAGCCCATGTTTCCTGTAGCTTATGTTGACGTACGAATGGCGAGGCAATTGGAAAAGCCATTCTAAGTTCATGGAAATAACTTCAGAAATCTCATTCCATTAAAAAAAAGTTCCTTCTGCGCTCAAGTCTTAAATTGTTTTCATGAAAGGCTCAAGCTGCAACATTTGGGGAGAATCGGTTGAGAAATCACAGAGTCCATAAATCCGTCTTCAGAGATAAGGCTTTGAGTTTACTCTCATGAAAACACTCTATCTAGCTCAGCCTCATGTGGCAGGCCGAGGTCAGGTCCCAGAGCTTGTTTCTTAGTTTGCTTTTCAGGTCTGCTGATTCCAGATCAGCTTATCTATATAGACAGCAGCAAGAGGGGCACTCAGCCGCAAAATGAGTGCTCCTAAAAATACACACCGCACCTTCGATACTGTGCAGGCCATCTGATAAGGCTCAAGTATACTACACACTCAAATCCATCGCATTGAACCCAAAGCTTAAAACATTCGATGAGAAACTAAAACTGGTCAAATTCTTCTGAGAGATATTTACAGAAAAGTAATGATTAAACACACCATGAGATCACAAGCTGAGAGCTAGAGTTTGGTTGTGATAACTATTATAAGTGAGCTTGTTTATTATATTTGGCATGTTCATAAACGACTGCCGAGCCCATTTGTATTCACTTTTTTAGTGTATAAATGATGATCTAGTGCAAAAACAAGTATTACCTGCAACTGTGGAATGAGCTAACAAATGTTTTACACCTGTATTTAGTGCTGTCCACTTGTAATCAAATCATCGCAAACAGATACCAGATTAACGCCAGGAATAAATTGGGTCTGTATCTCTCAAACAAGCTGCTGCTCTCAAGGTGCGAACTATAAGAATTGCATTGTCTTGTTTCTCTCTTCTTCAATTAGTCTATCCCTGAAGTAATTTCACTAAATAGTAAGTCAGTCTTCATTCTGTTTGTTTATTCTGGAAGACTGGTTACACATTGCTTTATACAGCTAAATTTGGGGAAAAACCTATTAATTATTGTCATTATTAATCCAGCTAAACAAGATGACTTCTTCAACTACAGATTCATTGGTAAAACTCACAATAAGGTCACATTAGGTAATGCATTAAACAACATTGACTAACAATGAGCAATACATTTGCTACAGTGTTTATTCATCTTTGTTAATGTTAATTAATAAAAATACAACAGTAATACTTTATTTTATGGACCAATTCTCACTTTTAACTAGCATGTACATTACTAGCATATTGGCTATTAGTACTTATAAAGCACATATTAATGCCTCATTCTGCATGACTATATTTTAAATAATTTAATTTTATGCCATACCTAAATTAAACAACTACTTTACTAGCTACTATTAAGCAGAAATTAGGAGTTTATTGATGCAAAAGTCATAGTAAATAATTAGTTAATAGTGAGAATTTGACATTAAAATAAAGTGTGACTAATGTGACTATATGATTATTAAGGGATACATGAACTAAAAATGAAAAATACTTCTAATGTATTCATTAATCTCAATGTTAACTAAGATAATTAACTAATGTTAAACAAATGGAAACTTATTGCAATGTTTTACCAATCAATTTACTCTTAGTGATAGTTTCAAAACAAAGACAAATAAATCTATTAAACATCCTTTCAAAACCACAGCATGTGCTTACATGGAATGTAACACTAGCAATTTAAAACAGTCACAACATTATCGCATCCAGTTAACATCACATCACAGTTAACACTGTCATCGCTATGTGAACACTAGTATGCAGAATTGTTCACACACTAATCAGAAACTCACAATGTATAAAAATAGCCACATACAAGTACATTGGCTTTCAAAAAGTGCCAAAAGAAGGTTAAATAAAGGTGAATATTTGTCTCTGATGAGACCTACAGTAAGCTAATGTAGTTCACCATGTCTTTTCAGGGCACTATGATTTCACAAACATGGACATAATCACAAAATGCACTCATAGAAATACAATTTATATTGCACCATGTCACGGAATTTGGTCAATTTCGCCTGAATAAATCAAAAGTAGGTATCCACAATGAATCAAATTGTGATATGGATGAGTGTCTGTGAACATTAAACAGCAAGACTGCTATATAAATATGAAGTCTGCATGCTCTGTAGGTCTGTGTGTGAATGAGCAGTGCAGTTTCGTCTACTACACATACTGAAGAACATGTGACACTCATGGTCTTTTCGGCATCTGCCGTCTCACTATATGAGGACATGAGCATATAAACTTCATCTCCAGAGCTGCTCTGAGAGTCTCTTCACCAGCATTTCACCATTCCATGTGAGAAAAAAACTTTGTAAATTGCTCAGCTGATTTTGTTGTTCTGAATTTATGATTATAGGTTTGAGAAATGTGTTAATTGTTTAGGGGAATGTGTCTTAGGAAAAACTGTGCTTTCTTCAAACCTCATCCTCATCTCCTTTCCTTTTTACTAAGTTTACTAACTAAACGAATGCGCACCACATATTTAGCAGATATATCACCTAGTGTTTGCTCAGTTTGCCTGACTCTGCTGAACTCAGCTGGGGTTGCCCGGAATATGAGGATTCACAGTTTTGACATGTTTTTTTTTTCTTCCCTCAGGTCAATTCTGTGCTGGTTTTTTTTGTTGTTGTTTTTGTTTTGTTTTTTAATGAAAAATTCTGGATGTCCATAGTGTGTCTCACCTCCGCTCTACACTCATTAGGCTACTCGGTCTGACCGTGTCAGTGCGTCAACAGATCTCCTCTCAAATTATGTGAGGAAGTAAAGGGTTTGAGGCTACAGTCCGGAAAACACAGGCCCGTCTACAACCCTGTTTGGACTGAATAATTACCTCATGCATACGAAACTGGCTCATGATGTGGTTTACCTCAAATGCATAGAATAATTTGACATACAAAAAGTTTCATAAAGTTTTACAGTAAGCTGTTAAAGTTAATAGACTAATGTATCAATTACCATTCAAAAGTTTAGATAGATTTTTTTTTAATGTTTTTGAAAGACGTTTCACCATGCTCACCATGGCTACAGTAATATTGTGAAATATCATTACCATTTAAAATAAAATAATATATTATATTTGAATATATTTTAAATTTAATTTACTCCTATGATAGCAAAGCTGAATTTCCAGGCATCATTACACTTTAGTGTCTTCAGTGTCACATGATCTTTCAGAAATCATTCTAATATGCTGATTTGGTGTAAGTTGAAATCGGTTGTGCTGCTTAATATTTTAATATAATTTTATTGAAATATAATTAAATACAATCTTACGGACTACAAACTTGAACAGTGTATGACATTAGTATTCCAGCATAAAAAAAAAGTTAAAATAATAAAAATTTAATGTATCATTATCAGTAGATTATATGGTGAAAAACAGTATTTTAAACAAAGAAAATAAAAATGTCTGCATGATTAAATTACAACTCCAAAATTGATTTACCAAACAGTGCAATGTTTCAACCAGTCAGGTTTTCATCAGGCACAAAATGTTGCACTGTTTGGTAAATACATTTTTGGAACTGTAATTTCAGTGTGCAGATATTATACCTGAATGCTTGAGGTTGTCATGGCAACTGTTGTCAACATCATTCAGGTTCAGCTTCATCAAACAGGTTTGATCCTGAACCACTGATGACATGTGAACAATTGCTGTAACCAATACAACATATTCCAATTTTTTATTGTAACAACAATAGGTCTATATATATTGTGCATGTGTATATATATATATATATATTTTTTTTTTTTTGTCCTACACCTGGACAGAAAAGGAGTATTTTCTCAGTCTCCCTAATTGTGCAACACTGTGGTTCATGTGTGTAGATATCCTTTAATGCCTAAACCTGCACCCCACTTCATTTGTTGGGGTTCAAGTCTGAAATAGCCTCAAGCCTCCATAATTTGCACCTTGCAGTATCTCAAATTCCAAGGAGCAATGACAATTATTTAATGCGTTATTACATTTCATTAAATTTGATGAGAGAGTTATGTAGTTCTTATACTTTATAATCCCCAGCCATTTACACACACATACCCCATCTCCATTTTTGACTCTTCCAGCCATAATCCCTTTGTTCCCCTCAAGGTGACTGCAATCGGGCCAGATCTGGCCAAAGCACAAGAGACATTAAGTGCCGCTGCAGTAAGTAACCTCTCCCAACCCTTCCAGCACCTCGCCATTGACTCCCACCATATGACTTCCTCCACTAAATGCCACTTAAGCTATTACAGCTCTCCAGCCCCGGGCTTCTGGTGACCTCAGAGGGTGAGGACAGCAAAAGGGCGATGGGATGGGAAGCCAGCACAGCAGCACATTTTCCTGTGACAGGGCTTACACCTCCAGCCTGATAGCACTGAGACTTGAGAGAATGGGCTTGGGGTATATTGAGGGGAATCGGCTTTCAGCATTGTCTAGTTCTGCTGACTCGGTAGAGGCGTTTAAACGTCTATTCGCTGTGGCAGCACATGCCGCCGTGTCTTCGTGGTGTGTCAATGCAATCCAGGTGTGTTCTGTCACCTTTGCAGCATGCTTTTTTGTGAGAGGAAGCAGTATTGGAATGAGCAACACGTTCAGTTAATTGCGTTATTGTGTCATCTTGGCATTTTGTTTAGACATCAGAAAACCAGCAGAAAGGCTTTATTAAAGTGAAAGGTATAAGTAGAGATGCAGGTACTGGTAAATCTGACTCAGCAGAAACAGCATTAGTGGTCTTCGTTACTTAAACGCTATGATGCTGTACAATGTGAATACTTACGTGTTCCATGATTTCCTTTATCATCCCATTCCACTGGCCTTTATCATCTTGAAACCCATACTTTCCATCCGGCACCAGGTGGATCTCGAAGGAAAAACCCAGAATGCTGGCCAACTCCTTAAGCAGGTCAATACAGAAGCCTTCAAAGCGGTCATTGCCGACGAGTGCCTTGTCAGACTTCTTAAGCATGACATATGGCTCCTCCTGTACAAATACAAAATATCCATTGAGAAGCATCTCCAAATGAGCTAAGGGTTTCTCATTGAGTTTTCTGCACACACACCTTACTGAGTAGAAGTAATCCCAACTGACAACTGGCTCAGTTTCAATGGGAAACAAATTCTTTTTTTTTTTTACATAACCCATGTCACAAAATGTTTTTTTACATAGCTTATGTTAAAACTGCACCAAGCAATTTCAGTGCCACTAGCAGCACCAAATACAATTGCAGATTGTTTGTTTGAATGACCTGAGATAGCAATGTTGGCTCACCAAATGATTTGAGTATCGGGATAGATTTCCTCAAACCAGTGTAAAGCTATTCTATTTTGCAGTTTAAGTACAGTATAAATTAGTGTAACGATCACATAAAATGGCATTATATTTCAAATAATTTCTCTGCATTAGATGTCAAGATTTGTTGGGTTACTTTAGGAAACATCGGTGAAAATACATTATGCATTACCATGTCTCGACCATCCCACCTTGACATTATTTTACTCCGATGGTCCATGACAATCTCTACAGGTCATTATATTGTCTTGCCTTCTGCATTCCCTCACAATGAAGAAAGCTGTGCTATACATGAAAGACCCCAAGATGTTCCTGGGATTGGCTCATGCAGGAGAGCTGGCATGAGGTACTCAAATGTTGGCCAGAATGCGGGAGAGAGAGAAAGCACAGCCACAATCCTAGAGACATTGGTCCTGAGGGGCTCTCAAAACTGAAGCACTGTCCTGTTGTGCTGAGCCACAGTGATACGCCTATGTTACCCTGGTTAGTTTTACGAATAAAACATGCTGGCATGTTGTACATAGACCATCTTCCATGACCCACACATCCTTAACATGTATATCCCAATCCACAATATAAGGATTGATGGAAAGAAAGTTTCAGGAAAAGCAGTCACAATGGCCAAGACAGCTGTCATCACCAGCTCTAGCACCATTCCTATCATCTGTATCCATGGAATTATTTCCTAAATCCTGGCTATAATAATCCCAATTGCAGAGGGCTTGAGAAGTGGCTTCGCAGTGTAGGAACCAACCAGACTCACTGAAAATGTGTGCTTGTGGTGACATTTCTGCAACACCGTTATTACGTACCCTATTGCATGTTCCACGGCAGTTTAAAAGTGAAATGTCCAGTGAGTGGCGCTAAAACGCATGTTCAATACGTGACCGTGGCCACATTTTTATTACATTGGTACAGGCACGTGTTGTGGTGTTTCTATTACGCTGCTTCAGGTACATATTGTGGTCGGTTCAGAATTCAAATGTCCAGGGAGTGTCACTAAAATGTTAACGCTCCATCGTGTTGGAAAATAGCAAACCCCCTACACCAAACTCAACCGTAAAAATACCCGATAGTGTTAGCAAATGCAAAAGTCTTATAAAAACACATTTGCTGGTGCAACCATGCTATTGAAACTTCTTTCTATGCAGATTTGAACTGTTTTGTCAAACCGTAGTTTCACAGGATTCGTACCAGAGCGCTTCACCTCACAAGTGCAACGCTGTATCGTATGAGCTACCGAGCAAACCTACTGAGTTAGAAGACCCATACATATGAAGCTGTGTTTGTGATGCTAATGTTCAAAAGTATCAATTTTCAAATCTTGCAGCATCTTAAAATTGTTTTGTGGTCATAACATAATATTGTGCAAGGAATTGTGCTTATTTTATTTGAAACTCTGGCCTGTAAATCATAATTTTTGTGAAAGGAATAAAAGTTTTACTGCCTCTAGTGTTCATTTCAACTGGAAACTGCAGCGATTCATACGTATAGGTTAGAGGTCTACACGGAGGACCCGAGACCCGAGGACCCGGG